ATCGCCACAATGCCCAGCTATTTTTGTTGTTGTTGTTGTCATTGTCAGGGCCAGGTTCGAACCTGCCAACCTCAGTGTATGTGGCCAGCTCCCTACCCACTGAGCTCCGGGCACCACCAAGAGATTTTTTTTTTTTAATGGTGTTAATTCTAAGGGGATTTTACCTATTAATCGATCCAAAAAGTAGATCATGCTACAATCTTACCTCTGTGAACTTGTTGAGAGTAGCATTGGTAGGGTTGTGAGTTATCAGAAAACGCATGTTTTCATAGGAGATCTCCACAGGGGCTGGACGGTTCATTATGGCAAATAAAAAGTGTGAGCGTGCGTGTGAAAGTGATGGGGAAATGGAAAAAAAAAAAATCAATAAATCTTGAAATGTTTCACAGCAGAAAACATTAAAAAGACCACTAAAATGCCTATTATCGATCAGTGTTTTCTCTATTTAACTTGCTTATTCCTTATGAAGCTTCTCTCTTCAAGATAAGCAGGATATTCAGAATCCACTCAAATCCAAATTCAATTTGGGCCTCAATGTCTGCAGATGGATACCTTTGGACTCCAAAAAATCCAACTACATACAAAACTTAAGCAGCCTTTACTACATTTAGGCACTAGTGAGACAAGTTAAAAGTGTAGGTCGCCTTCCACTTTTGTTTACTTGATGCTTAATTTTACTGGAGTCATTAAAAGAAATATGCTTGCAATAAAAAAAAAAAAAAAAGCCAACTATTTCTGAGGCCAGTCTTGGTGTCCAGAGTCTTCAAGGCAATGTTAATTATGGCACATAGAACCTCCAAGCTCACTTGTCAGCGAAAATGCTGTGCTGAGCCTGGCAGAAGTCTGCCCTCACGCTCAGAATCGCCATAAATGTGCAACGTATCTTCCAACGAAAAACCTGGAGGAGAAAAAGCATACGTAAAATGAACTGGAGGTTGACAGCATAGTAATTACAATACCTGAAGTAAGAAAGATACTCTTTACGAGCCCAAAGCAATGTGAAATCCACCAATTCTATATAAATTATTGCCACCTATGAAGAATAAGATAAAGAGATTCCTATATCAAGAGGTTTCAAAAATCAGAGATAGAGAAGTATGTCTTTGTTACTTTTTTATTTTTGAGACAGAGTCTCACCATATCGCCCTCAGTAGAGTGCCCCAGCTTCACAGCTCACAGCAACCTCCAACTCTGGGGCTTAAGTTATTCTCTTGCTTTAGCCTTCCAAGTAGCTAGGACTATAGGTGCCCGCCACAACGCCTGGCTATTTTTTCTTGCAGTCATCATTGTTGTTTCAGCTGGCCCAGGTCAGGTTCAAACCCACCAGCCTCTGTATGTGCAACTGCTGTGCTACAGGGCGCCATCTCTGTTACTTTTAAAACTGGATTCAATGGCTCAGCGCCTGTGGCTCAACCGGCTAGGGCGCCAGCCACGTACACCTAAGGTGGCGGGTTCGAATCCCTAGCCCGGACCCGCCAAACAACAATGACGGCTGCAACCAAAAAATAGC